TAGAAATTTATTGATTTACATACAAATAATTTTACCACCGTTATTATTAATATTATAGTATCCGCAGTATATTACGGTAAAGTTTATACTCTTTAATCACTTTCTAGACTGCAGTAAATACTCACTGACAGCGTTTATMCCCAGAATACTCGTTGGTGTTAAAATATTGATTTTTTCTTTTATTAAATTTTAACTTTTTAAACAATGAAATAGGTTAGCAAAATATAAAATATTATTCTACAAAAAAAGGTATTAGAAAATTATTTTCATATGCATGGTCTGCCACCATCACGAAATTATACAGTCGATTTGCTCACCGTATATTATATATGCAGCAAGCAAAATTAAATAAAAAAAAATTGATTTACGCAAAAATGTATTTATTGCACAAGTAGGTACTGGTATAAATTATAAGTAATAGTACTTAAAATAATACCTTATAGATTTAAAACACCTAATTTTACCTACCCTGTAGGTCAAAATATTGGACTGGGCAATTTTCAGTAATCTYAGGATTGGCTTGTTATATTGAATAACTCAGGAAAAACAATTTATTTCTATTTACTATGATGTCAGGTAACTAATTGCTTAATTCAATTACATATTATCCTCATCTTATGATCAAATGCATTGCGCATAATTAAATAAATTAGAAGTGAAAAACCAAATCAATTTTAATTTTCTTTCAATCATTCAAAAGTAATTAATTAAAAAAAAAAATAATAAAAATAGTGAAAAAAAAAGAATCGTGCATTGTGAGTTCCTGAGCATTTATGTTGGTATTTCATAATGTTCAATTATCTTAGATAAAACAATTTAAAATAAATAATTTCATATCAACTATGTTAAATATGTTCTAGATGTGGAAATATGCACACTGCACTTAGATGTGCATACATATAAATAGGGCGATGCTTAATAATTACAATATCTACTTGAATTTAATATGTAAATTGTAGGTAAATTAATAATAAAATCTTTAGGACGAGCTTTTAAAATGAAAATTCTATCTGGTGAAGGTATTTTATWAAAATTTCCTTTTGTTTATACCTTTAATATTTGATAGGTAATATTAGTTGTATTTTTGTAGATATACAATATTTAATTCACAGAGTTTTCAATGATATTTTATTTTATTTTTTTAAGATCTTATTTATTTATTTCAGCCAAATCAATTAGAATTAAATAATTACAATGAATTATGCTGATAATAGCTGATACGTATACAAACTGAGTTATAATCTCGTATTTAAGAAACGCAATATATCGACATGTATATGTCTTACAGCTGCGGTCGTTCTATAAAGTTGTGTGACACCGAGAGCGTTACCATTACGTCGTCTTGAAGCCGGGAGCATTAAATATTACAGTATTTTTCTGGCCGATTTCACATTATAGTTTCCATGACAACCAAACAATAAAAAAGAAAAAATTAATGTCATTAAGTTATTTTAAATTAATGTTCTTAGCAAATGATGATGAATAATAATAATAGAATTACAAGTTCACTTTATATAATATTATTACGTAATAGTTTTATTTTTGTGTAAGCCCAATAAATTATCAATGTTGCCGAGAACCTAATATATAAATTAGGTATATTAATAATAATAATAAATAATGATAATAGAATTACATTATATCATAACAATTAAATTATACTTTTTAGACTCTAAGCATAACGATAGTAATTCATAATTTATGATTATATTAATAACTTATCTTCCTATGTCGACTATAATAGGTACATGRTGAGTATATAGATGTACCGATGTAATCGCATGGAGTGTGTTGTGTGTATACTCTTTTTCTCTTAATATATATTCAGAAATTCTACCTATTAAAATTCAATATAGAAAATAGACGATGTTTCATGTATAAAACTTATTTACCTATGTATAATATGTTTATAGGTATATGTTACTGTGAATGTCCGCAGTTAGTGAATGCTGACAGTTGCCACTTAATGTCCTCGTACACCAAAATCATTGGTGAATGCTTGCTTATTGATTAAATTTATGATTTTAGTAAACGTTCACTAGTGAATGTTGACATTTATACAACTATATTGGTGAATGTTGGTAATACCGATATTATTTAAATATTTAATTTAATTTAGGAATAACAGAAGGGTCACAATTAAAAAACAGTATCTTATACTATCTAGTACCTATGCTGCAGTATAAAGTATTGTAGACATTGATAATTTTGATAAAATTACAAACATTACATTACATTTAATTACATTACCCAACTACTCTTATTATATCTGGGTAACCTCCATGCTATGCTGTCTTGATATCATTAGTATAGTATTGTCATTCAACGTAACTAGTTATATATTTTTGTTTTGAATAACATTTAATTCAAGCTATTTTWAAAAAAATAGAAAACATGCGGGAACTATTTTTTAATAATTTAATATCAATCACTGATGTACAAAGGAATTAACAAATTTCCTTAAGAGAAGCTTCTACATCAAATTCATTAATTGGTGGGAAAGGATATGTAAGATGTAACTGTAAAACAAAATGTACTACAAAAAAGTGTAGTTGTAGAAATGTTGGAATTTTATGAAGTAGACATTGTCATGACAGTTTGTCATCATGCTGTAATAAGAAATAATATAAAATCATCACAATTTAAAAACCTTATAATAATACAAATATAATATAGTATAATAATAATAATAATAATAATTTTTTGATTTAATTAAACATAATATGTTGTTTCTATTTTATAATATATGATATAATATTCAACTATAGTACTAGGTATAATATTATATGTGTGAATACGTACCTAGTACCTACCTATGTCAATGTTAAGCAAAATCTTGCTGTGTATGTCAACATTGACTAAAATCCTAACATAAATGTCAACATCCACCAGTAAATGTCTATTTAATTTTRATTTTTCAACATTCACAGTAACGTAGTAAGTTGAGATGTGAAAAAAATTCGAGGTTAATTATCATAAATAAATGTACACAATTATTCAAATAAATGAGTTGTGAATTTCGTTACAATGTACCTAGATATTATTTCATTTTTTTAGTTAGTAGCTGGGACTTACATTTTTTTTTTCATGGGACCAACTTACATACTACCTTTTTTTCCCCGGGACTCAATTTATCATGCTAGGGTCATTTGGGACTCAATCTACCAATCTCGCTTTGTACATAAAAATCAAGTTAAAGATGAATAGTATTAAAATATTACACTATTTTAATTTTATTTACCTACTAATATTTATTTGAATGCTGTTACTCTTTTATAGTATCATTATTTTATCTTAAAATTATAATGGATCTATAATATTACAAAAAATACAAGTAAATAAACTTTTTAATATTTTATATTCSGGGAACGTTCGATTTCTCGCTATAACTCTTTGGAAAATTTCAATCTTATTGTGCATTCCAACTGTATTATTTTAATTTTTTTGCCATATTTTTATAACATTGTGGAACAATGTTGTATAATCATCAATGGCGTGTTTTATTATGACTGCACATTACTTAAAACGCATTAAAAAGATTACTTTTTACTATAATATCACGATAGATTTTGTAGGCAATTGAAGATCTATTATATCTGCAAAATATTTATATTCTAAGTTATGTATATTTTTATTATTACTGCATAAGAAATTAAGTGCTTTGTTGAACTAAATACGAACGAAATTGCTGGTAATCTTGGTGGATTTTATATACTTAATGAAAATATTATATAAATTGTTTTGTTTCTATATTTGTTTTGTTTCAATCTTAATAATATAAAATTCAGCTTTAGATATGAAATGTAAAATTTTATTTTGTAACAACTTAAAATTGTGTAAAAGAAATATATTTTCAAAAACGTAATTGTCTTCTTAATTAATAGATGTTTTACGTTAAATGCATCCGCTCGCATACTTCTATTGACTAGTTAATTGTACAAAGCGATATATTTTTCTGGTAAAAACGTAATTTTCAATTTCATTTAAAAGAATTTTTCTTCATAACTGGGATACTATGTGCTATATAGTRACACACAGACAAAAGAAATACGATATTTTTTATTACTATGTAACATGTATTCAGATTACATAGTACATTTTACATGCATATATTTCAATATGTCACTGTGTTCCATAGGAAATAAAACAAAACGAAGCATGACTGCTGAGTTTCTACTACCGCCTACATGACATTGGTATCAAAAGCTTGGTATTCATTTCACTTTCTTCAGAAATAAATAAGTAATATTTATAATCTGTACASTAAAAAAAAAAGTTACAATAAGCAAATAGGTGAACATAATATTATATTGGTTATGTTGACGTAGAGAAGGGAAGCTATCCAGTGAGAGGTTACTTTAGACGTGTGTTTTGGCTAGATTTTACAAAAACTTTTTTTAAACTAAAAGGTCATGGCACCAACGTCTTTTAAGATTACGAGGTGAGTTTTCGCGGGGGGGAGGGGGGACATTTAAATGCAAAAACAAATTATCGTAATTGATATTTCAATTCTGAGCGGAGATTTGAGTTAATACTTAATACTGCAATCATATTTTTGTAATTTTTCATACATGCCTGACTGTTGACAAAACTTTATCCTTCCGCATGAAAAAAAATAACTACGACTTTTCATACTATCGTCTATTAGAAATACCCTTTCTGGACTGAATTTCTGATCGTTACAATATATTGAAGCTTTTGAGCACTCTTCCTCACTTCATCCGAATTTTAATTGCAGATTATGGCGATATTAAACGTGAATAAAAAAAAAATGAATAATTTGATTTATTTTACAAAACTGCGTGATATAATATAATAAAATATAATTTTTTAAAACTATAGTTTAATATGAAATATTAAAAAACAAATTGAATAACGAATCATGGAGTTATAAAAATATCATCTAATTTATACATCACTGCCGTATTGTACGGGTCACCCCTATAAAATCTGTTACCATTGTCTGCTTTTCTTCATAGAAAAGTTTATTATTTTTTTACCTGAGGCGAGTCCCACGATCCATATGATAATAATGGCTGTTCTGGCACGGCTGGTGGTAGATTTGAACTTTAAAGGATGACAGATGGCATACCAACGGTCGATGGAAATCGACGTCAGCGTCATTACTGATACGGTTACGGAGACGGTCTGCATGAAAAAAAAAAAAAAAATTACAAATTGCTGAATAAAATATAATATACAAATAATAAGTATTATTATTCCGAAAAACGGAAACCTAACCAGAAACAACATCAGTCACCATTAATATAATACAAATATACGATCACGTGCTTTAAACATAATAATATATTGATAATTGATATGATATTATTAAATCAAGTACAATCAAGTGGATATGTATACTGTAGTATAAATTATTTAATACCATTCGATAATACATGCCGTGATCATTGTTACATGTTATTATTATACATAAATAATA